TAATATGTTTCCAAATATGTGTGCGCACTTTAGGAGTACGGTGCATGATTGAACTTGAACCTAACAAAAAATAAGAGAATATCATAATTTAGAATATAATTTTTTTCATGATAAAAGAACAATACTACAAAAGTATATCACCAAACAAATAGAGTATTTAACTTACCATTCAAGTTGCAACTATACATTAATAATACTAGTAGTGTTTCCATTATTTTCCATATCTAAAAGATAATTCGACCAAATATGTCATAAAATATAAACATGTGTGTGGACTATATTATTTTGAACTAAAACACACATAATATATTAAAGCTTACCACGTTCGAATTCTTCAAGATACTCCCACTCTTCTTCAACAATAATAGGATTCTTCTCTTTTCTAAGCCAATCTTGAACAAAAATAAGAGCTTGCACATATTTAGGAGTCAATGAACTCCTAAATGAATCAAGAATACGGCCACCGGTGCTAAATGCACATGGAATGGCCAACACATCACGAGCCAACTCTGAAAGAATAGGAAATCTAGGAGAATGTGTTTTCCACCAACTTAAGATATCAAATTCTTCACTATAAGGCTCTTGTTCTTCACTAATATATTTATCCAATTCCGATTTAGCACCCCCACCTATATTGTCTTCCTTTTGTTTCTTGTGAAGCTTCATCCTTATTAATGATGTAGTTATAACTCCCACTAGATGTATTAGATGTGTTATCAGGTTAAGTAGATCCAGATGGAGATTGAGGACAAGATCCTGTTGAATACGTTTTTAGATACTCTTTAAACAAAGAATTCATATAAGCATACACCTCATCATTTATTTTCTTCCCTTTTTTCTCCCCAAAAAGTTCATCAAGTGCAACGCTAACATATTCAAATTTGTTACGTAGATCCAACACATAAGCAATAAAAATTATTTTATTCATCTTTTTAGTCTCACTCCAATACTTATTGAACTTTTCTGCATCCTCTCATCCATTTTTCTCAATTCTCATCCTCACTAATTAAACACATTTTCAAATGACAATAAAGTTCAGATATATCCTGAAAAGGATCATTACAAGTGACATAACGTGAACCTGGAACTTTTTTGATGAGCTCGTGAAATCTTACAAGAAACTTTATCACATTTCCCACATTCACCCAATCATCAAATTCAAGAGGACCTGCACTGCTACCATATTTACAAAGATGAGAACAAAGATAAGAAGAGAATCCATCAACAAAAAGATGAAACTTGTCAAAGGCCTTTTCAAAGTTTTGCGCCGTATCCAATATCAAATAGGTGGAATTCCACTTAGTAGGAATATCCAAACACAATATTTCGGTACATTCTACCTTTACATGTGCACACCACTGTTTAAACTTTAAGGTCCTTGCGGGAGACGATCTCACATACCTCACAGTATTTCTAACACATGTGATAGAAGCATTAATTTCTTTCAAACCATATTACACAATTAGATTAAGTATATGAGCCATGCATCTCACATGAAGATGCTTACCACTCATCATATTAGTTTTCCACATATCTAACTTTTTAAACAATTCTTTGACTGTGATATTATTTGAAGAAGCATTGTCCACAGTAACAATGAATACCTTGGCTAATTTCCATTCAAACAAACAATTACAAATAGCTTTAGCCATCTCTTCACCCTTATGACTAGTGATATGGTAAAAATTTAGTATTCTTTTATGCAACTTCCAATCCCTATCAATAAAGTGGGTTGTCAGACCCATATAATTTATTCTTTACAATGAAGTCCATATGTCTGTTGTGAGGTAAATATTTGGTTGTGCTTCTATAAAAGAACTTGTTAGATTTTGCTTCAATTCACCGTAAACTTCATAACAATCCCTTGTTATTGTTCTACGTGTAGGAAGACGAAATAGTGGTTGAGCTATTCTCATAAACTTCATAAGGCCTTCCTTTTCTATAAAGCTAAATGGTAGTTTATCAATAACTATCATCTCAATTAAATCCCTCCAAACCACTTCTTGATCGAATTTCCAAACCGATCCTCCATCCTTTTGGAAAGTTTGAAAGTTTATCCTTGTTTGAGTATTATCTTTATCAATGTAGGTGGGTATTCTTTGCATCTAGTCAAATGATTTCTCAATCCTGTTGTTCCATCCCTAGATGAATTAGCAGCATAAGCTTGCTTACAATATCTACACCTCGCTTTACCGACCCTATTTTCCTCAAATTTATCAAAATATTTCCACATTTCGGACCTGGGTTCTATATCTTTTCTTTTCTTAGAATATTGAGTATCAATTGTGTTGGCATTGCTATCTTCAGTAATAGGTAAGTTTTCAGTTGAACCAACATCACTTACTCTACTTTTATCCGCCATCTATACAAAATTAAAACAGATACAAACACAAATTGAGATTACAGTTGAGTTTAAATAGAAAAATAAGAATTTATAGTAAATCTTTACTCTGATTAGTAAATAATAGCCTTTAGGAAGTTAATTAAGACTCCTGAAGATGTTCCGTTCATGTTTAACCAATTTAAGGCAATAAGTTTTTGGCCTAGTCTATTTTTTCCTTCCTATATATTGAAATACCGACTCATAGAGGGAAATAAATAGAAGCTAATTATGTGAAAAGGTTACTTTAATGGTGTCATAAGAGAATAGAAAAATACTTGAAACTTTGGAGTAGACAGAACAAAATTTCTAACCAAAGGGGGATTGCTTGTTTACTTTGTTATATACTAGAAGAAAAATGAAAAATAAAAACATACATTGGCTTTTTTCTCTTAGAAAATTATACGCGTATCCGATAATCATCTTATAGACTTATACAATAATAAGAAGAATAAGATTGATTTGTAAAATAAATTAGGGGTAGGCATACGATAATACTCTTTCTGTTATTTTCCAGCATCATACAAGTATAAAGATACAAACTTACAACATCATACAAAGACACATCTAAGGGCGTCTTTGTATTCTAAGAAAAACTAATCTTAAGTTGATTTAATGATAAAAACTAAAAGTTTAAGAATGAAGAAGTTGTGAACTTGTTGAATACTTGAAGGTTGAAGAATGAAGGTAAAAAAATGAGAAAACAAGAAGTCACGTCGGCGCCGAGGTCATGAAGTTGTTGTCTCAGCCTCAGGGTCGCAGCACACAGCATCAGTCGTACTTTCTGTTGTCTTTGTTGAGACTTGAGCGTTGAGACAAACCTAAACCTAATTCCTATTGGGTTAGGTTAGGCTAGGAAATAACATAAAGAGTAAAAGAGACTTGGCCTTGGTCTTATTGGGATAGGGGTTTAATATTTTGGGCTGGCCTGCTGGGTAGTGTAGGCTGTAGGTAAAATCAATTCGGTATTTCAATATTCTGAAATATCGAAACCTCAATACCGAGGACCGTACCAAAATACCGAATAACCAAAAAATTGATACCGAAATACCGAATTAATTCGGTTCGATTCGGTTCGATTCGGAATTCGGTATTATAGATGTTATGCCCACCCCTACTAATAAGACCATAATCTCTGATAAACTTCCTATAGTATCCGGCTAACCCAAGAAACCCTCTTAGTTTCTTCACAGTTGTAGCAGTAGGCCAGTGTTGCACTGCTTCTACCTTCTTTAGGTCAGTAACAACTCCTTGTGCAGAAATGAAGTCACCCAGATACTCCACACTTGGTATTCCAAAAACACATTTAGAATGCTTGGCCAATAAGTTATTTTGCACCATTACTTCAAAGACCTGCTGTAAATGTAGAATGTGATCTTGTAATTTCACACTATATATTAGATTATCATAAAAAAAGACTAGCATAAATCTCTTGAGGAACTCCAGGAAAACATGATTCATCAAGCATTGAAAAGTGGAAGGAGCATTAGTCAAGCAAAAAGGCATGATCAAATACTCATAGTGCCCCATATGAGTTTTAAATGCAGTCTTTGGAACATCTTCAGGAACCATCCCGATCTGGCAATAACCAGATCTAAGATCAATCTTAGAAAAATAGAAGCTCCTGCCAGTTCATCCAACAAATCATCAATAATAGTGATGGAAAATTTATCTTTGATTGTGCAGCGGTTTGAATCCATATAATCCACACATAACCTCCAAGTGCCATTATTTTTACCTACCACCATCACAGAAGAAGGGGCTATTACTATACTGGATGACCCCTTGTTGCGTCCTCTCTGTCACTAATTTCTCAATAATATCCTTTTTCATAGAGGAATACCTGTAAGGTCTGATATTGATTGGTTTAGTCCCAGGTTGCAAGAAAATTCTGTGGTCAAAGCCACCTCTTTGTGATTTTAATGCAGTATTTTCTGAGAACACCTAAGTTGTTAGAAGGTCTCTGAGTGGCGTGGCATTGGTACATCCTTAGGTAAGTGTAAGGCAAGCAAAAGTCCATCACTCCTAGAACCAGATAATCGAGCCTCAAGCATCATCTGTAGCATGTAGAACTGAGCTCCATCACTTTGATATTTGTTGACAGCCTTGGAACTAGAAAGCTTAAAATCCTTTAAAACTCCCTTCAAAATATGTTGTTTGCCTTGATAGTTGAAGGTCATGGTTAAGGCTGAGTAGTCCATTATAACTGGACCTAAAGTCTTAATCTATAATGCTCCTAATATCAGGTCATATCTACCAACAAGAAAGACAATGAGGTCTGGCATATAAGTAGTGCCTTTCAGCATCCACTTAAAGTCCTTTACCACTCTAGATATAGCTTCTAGACTGTTGTTACCCAAACTGGCATAACTTAACACAGTAGGAGTAACAGCACAACCTAGCTTCTTTGTAGCTGCTGAATCAATGAAATTATGAGTGCTACCACCATCTAAGAGAATCTGAATGGGCCTTTTATCATTGTAACTTGTGGCATGAATGCTCTGTGCTCTTTGAATACCAGCTAAAATACATAGTGAAATGTGTGGATGACTTTTTTCAGTAACAATACATTCCTCATGAGGTGTCTTAGCTTCAAAGTTGTTGTTTCCTTGTTCTGCAGGCAGTGTATCAGGTCCTTCGAGCTCTATGACAAATAATTGTTTGGGAAGGTAACTTTTGTGGCTAGCAGTATATTTCTCATCACAGAAGTAGCATGACCTTTAGCCCCTTTTTGCTTGCATCTCAGCTGGAGATATAGTCCTTCTATTCCTAGGTATCACAACAGTATTAGCAGCAGGTAAAGCCAATTGAGGTGCATGATTAGCTGCTGCATAGGGAGTGATTTTAGGGCCTTGATTATCATAAGGACTCCTCCTAGTGGCAAAGTAACCAGTTAAAGTGTGCTTCTGAACTCTAGCATTAGCAGCTAAAGTAGCTTCAGCTAGCCTTGCTAGCCTACAGGTTTTAGCTAAAGTTTTAGGCTCATGCATCATAATATGGTTCAATAATTGCTCTTTCAATCCACCAAGGAAGCAAGAGATGGCTTGCTCAACAGTTAAGTTACATTGAGCTACCAACCTATCAAAAGCAAACTGAAACTCTCTAACAGATCCTGTTTGTTTTAGTTGTTTCAATTCCAGCATAGGATTAGAGAAGTCACCACAAAATGCTTCAATTAGCTTAGTGATATATTCATCACATGCAGGTAACACAAGTAAATTTTGACATTTAAGATAGGCCCAAGCTAATGCCTCAACATCAAGGTTCATAGCTACTACACTCACTCTTTAATTGAGAGGAGTGTCATCTTCTGTAAAATACTGCTCAATCCTATACAACTAGGTTTTTAAATTTTCTGCATTGAAACGAGAAAAAATTAAATTATGACCTCAATTTGCATTAACATAATAAGGACTGGGACCTAGGATGCCTTGACCTGATTGTAGCACCTTATCCCTAGCAGTCAAGGTAGAGTCATTGTCTTTCGATTGTTGACTCAATTGCAGCCCATCGAATGAGTTTTTGAGAGAGCTTACCATCTGAAGCATTTCATCATGGTGTTTGTCCAAGTCATCCCTTAGTTCCTGCTGTTTTTGGTCCATTTCTGCCCTTAGATCTTGTTGTTGAGCAGCTAGATCTTTGTATTGCTCTTGTAAATCCATGGGTTGATTACCCGTCACTACACCGACGACTCTGCATGATCCCATCGTCAACCTGGATCTGATACCAATTGATACCAAATTGTTGTATTGATCCAATGGAATAGCAAACAAATATTAGAATTAGAGAAGAAAAGAAGAGTTTGAACGAGAGAGAGGCAGAATTTGAGAGGGAAGAAGAAGAGAGGAAGGAGTTCAATTCATATATCAATCTCGATGCCTTTACAATTGTGTTTTCTCATATTTATAAGACTAAAATGAAACTAAAATACTGAAATAAAGAAAAAGGAAAATACATACATGCAAAATGTGTGACACAAACAATAACAACTTTTTCCCGCTAAAACTTATTAACTAACCTTCAAATGCTAATGGCTAATATGTGTATCATGGAAGAAGAAAAAATTGAGAAGGAGAAGCATTTGATACACATATTAGCCATTAACTAACTTTTTCCCGTTCTTCTCCTTCTCAATTTTTTCTTCTTCCATGATACACATATTAGCCATTAGCATTTGAAGGTTAGTTAATGAGTTTTAGCGGAAAAAAGTGATTATTGTTTGTGTCACACATTTTGCATGTATGTATTTTTTTTTTCTTTATTTCAGCATTTTAGTCTTATAAATAGGAGGAAACACAATTGTAAAGGCATCGAGATTGATATATGAATTGAACTCCTTCCTCTCTTCTTCTTCTCTCTCAAATTATGCTTCTCTCTCGTTCAAACTCTTCTCTTTTTCTCTATTTCTAACGTTTGTTTGCTATTCCATTGGATCAATACCACAATTTGTATTAATTAGTATCAGAGCCAGGTTGACGATGGCACCATGCAGAGTCGTCGGTGTAGTGACGGGTAATCAACCTATAGATTTACAAGAGCAATACAAAGATCTAGCAGCTCAACAACAAGATCTAAGGGCGGAAATGACACAAAAACAGCAGGAACTAAGGGATGACTTGGACAAACGCCATGCTGAACTGCTTCAGATGGTAAGCTCTCTCAAAAACTCATTCGATGGGCTGCAATTGGGTCAACAATCGAAAGACAATGACTCTACCTCGACTGCTAGGGATAAGGTGNATATATAAAATGATCTGGTGCAGTAATTTTTACTCTTACACGCCAATGTTTCGTGCTATACACTTTAAATGCCAAGTGGCCAGAGAGTTGGTATTAATACTACTTCAAAAATATTTAGGGGTAATAGGATCTCTACGGAGTTTCAATGTCTCCTTGGAAAAAGGGCCATAGTATAGGGGGTTCCTATGTATTTTTCCATTTTCTTTTCCTATAGTATGTTAGTAACATGCAATTAGTAAATATTTATTCATAATCAATTTCCACCAAGTTAAGTAATTATTTATAACGATTAACAATTAAAGTTAAATAATCATATTTTTGTAATATACATTAAATTATTTTTTATGTTTATTAATTTGAAATAAATACCGAATGAGATAAATTTCTATATATTCTACCTATTAACTATGCCAACATCAGCATAGTGGAGAAAAATGTTTATGTACGTTTTTTCAAGAACATTCAAAAAAATCTAGTAATTTGCGATTATCTTTTATATTATTTTTACAAATTACAAAACATTCAAAAATCTTCAAAACATGTTTGCGTATTACACAAATGTTTTTACAAAACAATTGTTCGAGTTGTCCAAAAACTGCACCTTAAATTATTTCCCGAATTATTATGCATCTTTCCAATAGCCCAAATTTGCTATGGCCAGTCTTCCCCCCCCCTATTCATGGGATTTTCTTTTTCAAAAAATGATTATATTCGAACTTTGTTACAACAAAAAATAAAATAAGACAATTGTATACGGTCAAAATCGGTTTCGACCTTCCTATGATTAGTCAAGATTGGAACATAATTGACCGAAGGTCATCTTCATAATATCGAGATGGGATCTGAATCCAGGTTACCAAGCTCGAAGTGCTGGGACCGATCAAGTACCGAGTTCGAAGTCATTACCAAGCTCGAGTCCAAATCGAACCATGAGGTGAAGCGGTGTCATCGAGCTCAAGAGCCAGAGACCGACCAATATCAAGCCCGATTCGATACCGATCCCCGAGTCAATATCGAGCTCGAGTTAATATCGAGCTCTAAATCTGGAAATCAACCAATACCAAATCCGACCAAGATCGAGCCAAGAGACAAGAGCCGTTACAGCCGCACTAAGGGAGAGAATATTGGCGGTTATTAGGAAAAAGCTAATCTATCATGGGATCCCCACTATGTATTTTTAATTAAATCTAAAGTAGGATTCCTCCACTATAAGAGGGATAGCTACTATTTCTGCAGAGGAGAAAACATTAAGGCATTGATACACTCTCATATTATTGATATTCACAGAGATAAATATACTGATATTTATATTGAGATTATCTTCTTGTGAGCTATATACATTGATTCATCTTGCTTGTTCATAAAATAGCTTTCTATTTCAATTTGGTTGGTATTTTATTCTTCATATAGTCAGTACCCAGTATATTTCTACTTAATTTTCGATTTGTGCCAAGTTGTATCACGTATCCTTAGAACTACGTATAAATTCAACTCTATGCGTTTTTCGGATAAACAGTTTAGCACCCACCGTGGGGCTAAGAATAACAGTGATTGTTTGGTACGAATCTATACAAAACACACCATTTTACACTTGCTCTTGGAAGTATCTTTGATTTCAGGTTGAAAACGATGAATTCTCAATTAATGGCCCTACCTATCGATAACAAAGCTGGCCTTCAAGATGAGAACAACAACTTAACCCCCGGGGGTGGAAGTCCACTCGTCGATCCCGTTGGAGTTCGGGTTGAAGAGCCAATAGACGTCAATTCACATGTGGCCATCGAGGCGAACCAACGTTCTGACCCTGAAAACAACATTCATGATGGAACTCGGTCTGCAACTCGAAATACCCAAAACGCTGAGGAAATCCGAATCAGCTTACGTATGATCGTCGAGATGTTACAAGCTCAACAAGTAGCAATAGCCCAGTTACCGAGCCAAACCCAGGCACCGACAAGACTCGAGCCCAGTCCACCCGAAGAAGTCACCCACAAAATGGGGCCAGCTATAGTAAGGTCAAATGAGCAAGAATCGGGGACTAATCCCAAAATTGTTAAGATGTTCGAAGAACTGATAAAACGAATAGAGTCAGGAGAAAGGAGGATCGAGGCAAATGACAAAAAAGTGGAAACATGTAACTCCAAGGTTGATCAGATCCCTGGGGCACCACTGATATTGAAGGTCTTAGATTCCAAAAAATTCATACAAAAGCCTTTCCCCCCGAGCGCGACTCCTAAACCGATCCCAAAAAAGTTTTGCATGCCCGAGATTCCTAAATACAATGGAACAACCGACCCCAACGAACATGTCACTTTTTACACATGTGCCATTAAAGGGAACGGTCTAGAGGACGATGAGATCGAATCTGTATTATTAAAAATATTTGGTGAAACCCTGTCACAAGGAGTAATGATATGGTATCATAATTTACCATCTAACTCTATCGATTCTTTTGCTATGCTTGCAGATTCTTTCGTAAAAGCACATGCTGGGGCCATAAAGGTCGAAACCAGAAAGTCAGACATGTTCAAGGTAAGATAAAAGGAAAATGAGATGCTAAGAGAATTCGTATCTCATTTCCAAATGGAACGAATGGATCTACCACCAGTCACAGACGATTGGGTTGTTCAAGCTTTCACTCAAGGTCTAAACGAACGGAGCTCGATGGCTTCACGGCGGCTGAAGCATAACCTGATCGAGTACCCAGCTATTACTTGGGACGATGTACGCAATCGGTATCAATCCAAAATAAGAGTCGAAGACGACCAGTTGGGTTCTGGGTCCGATATTAAAAGGGATATCGACCGAGAACCAAGGTCAAACAAGGATCGATATCGGTCGTATAACGGAGATCGTAGGGGTAGAGAACCTTCACGCAACCCCGTACGAGGCAAAAGGAGAAATGATCGAGGTCAGGGGTTTCGGGGGCTGATGAACAGGAATAGGTTCGACAGGCATACCGGACCTAAGGAAGCACCTCAGTTATCGGAGTATAACTTCAGAATCGATGCATCCGCTATCGTGTCGGATATCGGACGCATAAAAAATACTAAATGGCCTTGACCTATGTAGACCGATCCTGCCTAGATGATTCCCAATCAAATGTGCGAATATCATGGCACTCATGGCCACAGAACGGAAGATTGCAGGCAACTAAGAGAGGAGGTAGCACGGTTATTCAATAAAGGGCACCTTCGAGAATTTTTAAGTGGCAGGGCCAAAAACCATTTCAAAAATAGGAATTTCAATAGACAAAACGAACAATAAAAGCCACAACACATCATCCATATGATCATTGGTGGGATCGATACCCCCAGGGGCCAGTGCTTAAACGCACTAAGATGTCGGTTGTAAGAGAAAAGTGATCCCGAACTCAGGATTACACCCCTGAAGGAACCTTGTCCTTTAATAGCGAAGACGAGGAAGGAATCATGCAACCACATAACGATGCACTAGTAATATCTGTACTTATGAATAAAACTCGAGTTAAATGTGTGTTAATTGATCCAGGTAGTTCGGCCAACATCATCCGATCGAGGGTCGTAGAGCAACTCGGTCTGTAGGACCAGGTCGTGCCCGCAACCTTGGTACTAAACGGATTCAATATGGCATGTGAAACTACTAAGGGCGAAATAATCCTGCCATTTAACGTGGCCAGAACCATCCAAGAAATGAAGTTCCACGTGATCAAAGGCGATATGAGATATAACGCTCTGTTCGGAAGGCCGTGGATCCACAATATGAGGGTTGTGCCCTTGACCCTCCACTAGGTTTTGAAGTTCCCAACATCGGAGGGAATTAAAACGATCTACGGGGAGCAACCGGCCGCAAAAGAAATATTTTTCGTCGATGAAGTGATTCCGATATCACCATTATCACCAGCAAAAGGATCAGATCTAAAGGAGGAACGAAATACCAAATAGCAATCACAAACGTCAGCTTCGACCCAATTAGAGAATCAGAAGGCAGACAAAGATGATGAACATAGGATCCCTTGAACTTTCGTAGTTCACCATGATTTTGACGCCACCGAATCAACAATCGAAGAACTAGAGCAAGTCATACTAATTGAATATCTACCCGAACGAAAGGTATACCTGGGCACTGGGTTAGATCCTGAGCTCAAGAGAAAGATTATTCAATTTCTTATAGCTAACATAGACTGTTTCGCTTGGTCCCATCTTGACATGACAGGGATCCCACCGGGAATCACCACTCATAAGATAAGCTTGGACCCAAAATTCTACCCGGTAAAACAAAAAAGAAGACCCCAGTCTGAGGTCAAACACGCCTTCATCAAAGGTGAAGTAACCAAACTTCTTAAAATAGTGTCCATTCGGGAAGTAAAGTACCCCGAATGGCTAGAAAATGTGGTGGTAGTCCCTAAAAGGGGGAACAAACTTAGAATGTGTATAGATTATAAAGACCTGAATAAAGCATGCCCTAAGGACTCTTTTTTTTTGCCTAATATCGATCGTATGATCGATGCCACGGCCGACCACGAGACTCTCAGTTTTCTCGATGCCTATTCCGGGTACAACCAAATACAGATGAACCCGGAGGATCAGGAAAAGAAATCATTTACCACTAAGTACGGGACCTATTGTTATAATGTAATGCCATTCGGCCTAAAAAATGTTGGTGCAACTTATCAACGCCTAGTAAACAGAATGTTCGAAAAGTAAATAGGAAAATCAATGGAAGTTTATATTGATGACATGTTAGTTAAATCCCTGTGAGCAGAGGACCATTTAAAACATTTGCAGAAAACTTTCGACATACTAAGGGAGTACAATATGAAGCTCAATCCCGAAAAATATGCTTACGGGGTTGGCTCGGACAAGTTTCTCAGTTTTATGGTGTCCAATCGAGGAATTGAGATTAACCCCGATAGAATCAAAGCAATCGAGGACATCATAGTGGTGGATAATGTAAAGGCCGTGCAAAGGCTAACGTGATGGATAGCCCCCTGGGATGATTCATTTCATGATCCTCGGATAGGAGACGCCGATGTTTCTCTTTGCTTAAAAAGAAAAGCAATTTTTCATGGACTCCAGAATGTCAGCAGGCTTTGGAAGAGCTAAAACGGTATCTATCGAGGCCTCCGTTGCTTCATACCCCGAAGGCAGACGAACAAATTTACCTGTATCTAGCTGTCTCAGAGGTAGCGGTAAGTGGAGTCCTAATTTGAGAAGAACGAGGTACGCAATTCCCTATTTATTATGTCAGTCGAACTCTAGGCGAGACCGAAACTTGATACCCACACTTAGAAAAATTAGCGCTTACTTTAATAAGTGCCTCTAGGATATTAAAACCATATTTCCAGTGCCATCCGATACATGTTGTAACAACTTATCCTCTACAAAATAGTTTACACAAACCTGATCTTTCAGGTCGATTGGCCAAATGGTCCATAGAGATCGGCGGGCACGACATCGAGTTTCGACCTCGAACCGCTATCAAATATCAAATCTTAGCGGACTTCGTGGCTGACTTTACGCCGGCCTTAGTACCGGAGATTGAAAAGGAATTACTGATAAAATTAGGTACCTCTTTGGGAATCTGGACCCTCTTTACGGACGGTTCCTCGAACGCAAAGGGGTCCGGACTGGGCATCGTATTAAAATCGCCCATAAGTAATATAGTTAGACAGTCTATTAAAACTACAAACTTGACTAACAATGAGGCCGAGTATGAGGTCGTAATTGCAGGTCTTGAACTAGCTAGAAGTTTGGGAGACGAGGTCGTGGAGGCTAAATGTGATTCCCTCCTCGTGGTAAATGAAGTCAACGGGACTTTTGATGTCCGGGAAGATCGAATGCAGAGGTACTTGGATAAATTGCAAGTGACTCTACATCGATTTAAGGAATGGAATTTGCAACATGTACTTCAAGAGCAGAACAGTGAGGCCGACACTCTTGCAAACTTAGGGTCTTCGGTCGAGGATGACGAACTCGACTCGGGGACTGTCGTGCAACTCATGAAATCGGTAATCGAGGAAGGTCATACCGAGATAAACTCTACAAGTCTAACAAGGGATTGGAGAAACAAATATATATTACTTCAAGAACGGGAAACTTCCATCGGATCCAAAGGAATCGAGAACTCTATGCACAAAAGCTGCACGGTTCACCTTATCTAATGATGGAACGCTGTTTAGAAGGACGTTCGATGGTCCACTGGCAATATGTTTGGGACTAGGAGACACCGACTACATCCTACGTGATATTCACGAGAGCACGTGCGGGAATCATTCTGGTGCCGATTCATTAGTCCACAAAATAATCAGAACAGGATATTATTGGATTGATCTGGATAAAGATGCAAGGGAGTTCGTTCAAAAATGTGACAAATGTCAAAGACATGCGCCCATGATTCATCAACCCATGGAACTTCTCCACTCGG